GGCCAAACCACATTCATCACTGGCTTTGTTGGACTTCAGGCTGTGAATGGCGGAATCTAGCTCCCGCATCGTGAATGGTAGCTCTTCCAACACCGATGGTTTGGTTGCCTCGAAATTGGTGCCACTGAAAATATCTGACAGCATCTCTGCGAAATCATCAACAGGGGGCATGGTCGAAAACTGTTGCGGAGTCATGTGACATGTGCGAAGTGTTTTCCAGTTTTTGGCGGTACGCAAAAGCTCGGCACATCGTCGCGATTTCCACGTCGACAATTCTTTGGCATGAACCTTCCGGATTTGTAAACTCAAGCGTCGCTTCTCCGACACGCATAAGCTTGTTCTGCGTGCATGTCGCAGATCTCGCAAAAATGGCGAGGGAATGAATCTCGGATGCTTATGTTTGGAGCTTCCTCCTTTCAAACCAGCATTAAATAAAGCTGCCTCAAGTGAATCGAAACTTGGCTCCACGGTTGTAGCTGTCCACCGGTTCAATTCCTCATGGTAAATGGACGAAATGCGAAATTCATTTAAATGTGGCGACCACCCCTTGAAGTTCACCCGCCGTGGCTTGTGTAGGCGACCTTTGCGAATCGGGATCCGGAGCACGCAATGAACACATCTGTGGTCGATGCCGATCGGGATGCAAAAATCGTTCCAAGCTCGCTCGACTTCGACGACCAAGGGACCGAGCAAGAAATCAATTTGAGTTCGCATGCCATCAAGATACCGTTGACATGTCCACCCATCACGAGTCTGGTTTTGTGTCATGCGGTTCAGAAGCTGCAGGTTCTCACTCATGATCCATCGAACAAGCATGGACCCCCGATCATTTCGGTTGCCTTCACCACATGGCCCAACATGCTGTTCGTCATCATGAGCTTGAATTGCTCCAACGCATGCGTTGAAATCACCTCCTAAAATAACCATGGCGTTTGAACTGCGTTGACCTTCCAACAACAAAGATGTGACGCCATAGAGCTCCTCGACGGCTTCAACAGGATCCCAACATGTCGGAAAGTAACACGACAATACATGGAACATGCGGCCAGCCATTTGGAAAACCAGCATGCATATCCGCGGAGAGATCGCATGAAAAGAAATATTGCTCATCTGCTTGTGCATACGCTTGGACACGCAAATGCCCACGCCTTTGCTGCAAGAGCCACCACTTAAATAAAGCACATCACCGTATGGCGACCTTACAGCCTCTTCCGATTCATCTCGCCACGTCTCACTCAAAAGCAGGATATCATATTGACACGATCAAGCTCAATCAAAAAGTCTTCAAACCTCGACGGTTCTCTGATGCTTTGCACATTTTTTGTGATCACATGTACATGAATGAATTCATCTTGCTTGTGTGTGGCCCTTGTTGCACGCTTATCGGGAGCAACCCTCCGTTGGTGCATCGCCACCCCCTCTCCCTACTCCATATCGCCGATGAACTCCTCGAGCGCTACCCGAACTGGTTGTAGTTCGACTCCATCGTGCAACCAGTTCACACTCAAGTCGTCATTGATGTTTGCAATCGGGACAAGTTTGGCGTTCTCTCGAAGAACGACTTTGTAAGATTTGTAGCTCGCAACGACGTTCTTTGGGCTGTAGCTGCCTAGTTCAATGAGGTATTTCTTCAATTTGCTCACGACCTTCAACCGACGGCGATCTTCACGGGAACGATTTTCAGCGGCCCATAATGTAGCGGCTTGCAATCGCGGGTGCTTCCGCTGCGAACGGATGAACTTCATTGCCACAGCTGGCGATTCGAAGCGAGCAAGTGCTAAAGCAGGCTCGGTGTCCGTGACAGTAACATCGCAAAGTCCGCGTTCGTCATGGAGAACTTCGCGCGCAACAGTTTCCGCCTCCTCCATCGACTTGTCCCCAAACCCCCCGATGACCACTATGGATTTGTCAACATCCTCACGGGCATCATGGCTTTGGAGGTTGCAGTTGCCTTCCAAACGAGCGACGCGTTCTTCGAGTGCTGTTCGCGCTTGTTTCTCGGCAGCCAACTCTTCATGCAAACTTGAAATGGATGTTTCGAACCTGGATGATAAACGATGTTCAACTTCGGATAACTCTTCCCGCATCATGGTCCGCAAGATGGCTATGGTTGCTGCACTCATTTCCAATTGGGTGTTGGCAACCTCCTGAGTGCTCGAAGTGCTCAATGCTCCATGAGCAGGTTTTTGTCGAGATCTAGCATGGGCTTCTTTGTCGGGGTTAGCCCTCAGTATATCCTGTCATGTGTGGACACCACCACGAACAAGGTGATCTACGCAAGAACAGGAGAGGCCCAGTCTGCAGCCACCCGAGAGGGTGAGCCGGATACTGTTGAACAAGCTTCATCGAGCTCAACAGTCAAAGCCTTGGCGTCAAGGGCTGTCCCAGAAGACCAGCCCAAGCGAGTCAAGGGCACTGTTGGCGCTTTCCTTGAGGCAAAGAAGGCGAGGATCGATGCTGCTGCGTTGGAATCCATTGAAGAGAAAGACGAGGCATCGATAGATGACCAACCGCAGCCTGCACAGGAGATATCCGACACGGAAGAGGCAGAGAGCGACAGCGAAGCCCCATACGGGAGCTATCCATGCTTCGGCCTGCCAGCGCATCGTCCTGCTTGGGCAGCGCTTTTGCATGACATGCGGTGAGAATCAGTTTCCGGAGTCCAACAAGGCAAGCCGCCAGTACACCTCGTTCCAGCAAAACCGCCGCACCACACTCCTCAAGCTGACGTACAATGCTCGGAATGAGGATCTCCTGGGACACCTCCGTGGCATCGCAGAAAAGTTTAGCAAACAGCGGGGCTCAGTCTCCCTGGATGCGCTGATCATACGCGATGCCAAAGACAAGTTCCAACGAGCGAGGAAGCTCAAGTTCGACTCCATTGCTGACCGGTTGGAACGTGATGCCACCTTCTTCCTGCAGATGATGAGGAACGGAATCACGGTTCAGGATGCGTGCCGAATGGACCTCCTGGTGAAGGCCGTGCTCCCGGACCCAGGCCGCACGGAAGAGCAGCGGCTTCTGCAGGCGGGGTCGAACTACCTCAGCGGAGCTTCCCGAAAGGGAATGCCGGGCAAGTTGGTTTACTATGGCGATGCGCCAATGGATGGCCTAAAATCGGCTGGACTGATTGACCAGTTCTCCGAGAACCCCATCGGGATGGCCTACGGCGGCGCCTTCATCGGCTTCAGCTTCTATGCCGATATCGCCACCCGCTTGTCCGGTGCTCGCACAATCTACAGCTTCAACGGCATTGTGGAACTCAAGCATGAAACGCCGGAAGGCATGATTGCCGAGCTGCAAATGCTGGCAGCCGAATGCATCCACTCTGCCGAGGAGCAGGAAAAAATCACCGCCTACCACGCCGCCAAGAATCGAGAGACGGCACAGCAGCGAACGGAGGCTGCCACTACTACCCGTCCCTCGACGCAGAGCGCCTCATCAAGGGACACAGCTGTTCGTGAAGCACCCTGGCACCAAGGGCAAGAACAGTGGTGGTCAGATCGTGAATGGCGCGAGTGGCGTGAGTGGCGTGAGCCAGCTAGTCAGGGTTGGGGCTCATCCCGCTGGAACAGTCAGCGCGGATCGCAGTGGTGGAGCCGCTGAATGCCCATTTTGTATGCACAATAGCTCAAGTTTTGCTTTCCCTTCACCTTTGTTTCGGTCATAGCGGGTGGGACAACATGGGCCACCCGAAAGGGTGTGTCGTAATCCTCTGTCCACCTTAGCTTGTGCCAAGCACGGTGAGGGGGGTGTAGTTTTTCATGGAGGAATTACACTCCTTTTGCGAGCTGTGCATACCATCACTTCACCTTTGACTGTGGCTCAAGTTGCCGATAAAAAGAGGCGTACTTAACGGTTTACATGTTCCCTCATGTGCTGACCTGTAAACTTCAGGTCTCCCTGTTCGCTCCTCGCCCTGCGCGACGGCGTGGGAGGTCCCCTGCCCATCAACCCACGTGTAGGAGCTGGCAGAGCCATAAAACTGGCGGGCGTAGGGGAGAAGCGGGTGGAGCTCAGGCCACGCGAGGACGCCCTGCAGCATGGCTTGCCGGGACACGTGGTCGTAGGCACCACTGGCGTCCACAGACACGATGGTTGCACGCGGGTCGACCTCCGTGGCAGCCCGCGGGACACGCGGAAGGGCCTCACTGCCGGCTCGCGTGCTTAGCCCGTATTGCTAGGGAAGCCAGGCGCGCTCAAGGTGCGGGGCGAAGGCCTGCGCGAGGGTTCTCCTGACCAAACGGCGAAGGACATCTCCGACAACGAGCGCGCGAATGCCCCGTCCATCCGGCTTTTGTAAAGCGACAATTCTGCCAACCCGAATGGCCGCCAGGGCTGCGTCCGGCACATCGGCCTGCGCCAAACGTTGCGCGGCGCAGTGGAGCAGTTGGCTATCGACCTCGTCATCCAGCAGGATGCGGAGGTGCTCAGCAGTGGTGCCGGAGGGTCCCGCAGCAGCCCCACGCCTTGCAGTTCGCAGGCAAGCAAGGAACGCTGGCAAAGAAAGGGGGCACGGCTCATGCGGGGCAAAGTTAGCAATCTCGGACGGCATGGGGTCATACGGCTCGGGCGGACGGCGCTGAGGATCCCGGAGTTCTGCGAGGGTGGCGTCGGTGGCGGGCGCAAGCGGCTCAGCAACCAGGGCGCGGCCCGCAGCGGAGAGCTCGCCGAGATGGACCAGAGCCGCCGCGCGTGCCGCCCGAGCTTCGGGATCAGGAGCAACATTTCGGGCCGCCTCTTGCGGACAAGCGGCCGTGCGCGAGGCAGCCTGGAGGAGGGCGGGCCACTCGCCACGTGCGAAAGCTTCGCAGCGCCGTGCAAGCTCACCCGGCGCAACGCGCGTCGCACCGGCTGTGCGATGTAAAAGCATGCGCGGGGCAAGAAGGAAGAGTTTCCAGCCCCGGAGCTCCAGTTGAGGCGACGTGCGTTCCGATATCAATTCCAGGCCTGCACGCATGGCCGTGCGGAGGGCGCCTCGCAAGCGGGTAGGGACACCCTCAGGAGCTGAGGGTCGCCTCGAGGTCGATGCCGTCCAGAGAGGCGAGGCCAACACGCAAACCCTCCTCCGCCGCAGCGACACGGCGCAACGCGGCGTTGCCGCTCTGAATCGTGTCAGCAGGCGCATCGGCGGCACATGGCCGCCCGCACAACATCCGCGAGTGAGGTGACTTGCGCATGGCGTTGCCCTGCCCACGCACGGAAGCGAAGCAGTGAAGGAGAGAGGAGCACGGGTGGCCCAAACGCCCGCCCGACATGAGCAACCGCCTGAGCGAGCTCCTGCACGGGCAGAAACGGGCGCGCGAGCAAGGCCTCAACGGTGCGCTGCCACCACTCCCCAATGACCGGATGCCTGCGCCATGCACGGCGCGCAGAATCAGGACGTACACCTCAGAGTTGGTGCCAGCGATGAGGGGGAGCGGCGGAGGCACGGCATCAACATACTGGACGACGGTTTGCGGGAGGGCGGGCTCGGGCGCGGGGACCGCCTGTGACGCGGGCAAGGGGGGCTCCGGTCCCAATGCAAAGGGTCTGACCGGGTGCGCAAATGGGCAGCAAGAGCAGACCCAGCGCTCCACGTGCGAAGCAAGGTTGACCTCCCACAGCATGGGGGCCGAGCAACGGAGGCATGGCGGGGGAGGCCCCGGCGTCTGGACGCACGCAACCGGCAGCACGTTCTGGCAGCGCATGCAGAGCCACTGCGGAGTCCATGAGGCGATGCCCACGTCATTGCGGTGGGGCAGGGGGGCCCAGTGCATGCTAGCATCCGGGAGCTCGGCGAAGCCTAGCGCGGGTCCCGCCAGGCGGCGGCAACATACGGCCCGCAAGTTGTGTGGCTCCGCGGGCTCCGCAGCGTCCGCAGCGGAGAAGGTTCTGGTCGCGTAGTCCCGGACGGTCGTATGGGCCGTTTGGTGGCTTGGGGGAGCAGCCGGGCGGAGGTCGATGCCAAGCGCTTGACACCTCGTCCGCAGGCCCGGGTCCTGGGAGAGGACGGGTCATGGATGGGCGTGTCGTCGTGAAGCGTGTCCCGGCCCCAATCGGGCGGAGTCGTGTCCATGTCGAAAAGGAAACGTGGCAAGCAAACCCAACTGCAAGCAAACACAACTGCAAGCAAACACAACTGCAAGCAAGAACAACTGTTCGTTTTCCCTCGTGATGCGGGCTGTGTTTGTTTTGCTTCAACGGTAACGATGCACACGGGCGAGGCGGCGTTTCCCAGCGCCAGGCCTGCGAGCAGGGAATTACCGAACAGCGACGGGTCGCACCGCTCGACAGAGAGACAGGCGTGAGCCCGAGGCCAGAAGAATGGACCCCGGCACTGTTCCAAACGCGGGTCTTGGCAGGGTTGAGCCGGACGCAGCGCATGCCTCTCGAAACTATGGTAGAGCTGGAGCGCACGGTGAGGTGGAGCCAAGATGCACGCATCGTCGAGGTAGGCATAGGTAGGCCAAGGCTTGCTCGTCAGGGCGTAGGTCCGCCTGCAAATCGCGGATGGCAGGTGCAAACACCAAGGCGAACAAGGCCGAATTTCTCTGACGTCGCGCGGGATGCATTCATTGATTTTGTACAGCATTGAGAACATTGAACGAAGATGATTGGTCAAAAAACCGTCGATGTTTAGAATGATTATTACTAACATTGACATGACGTCATGCTCAATCGCAGCTTGACACGCTGTAAAGCTGCGTTTTTTTTTTTGCCTGCTCCTCCAAGAGGCCGCCTACGGGCATGCAGGACTTACTTACTGCGCGCAGCATCGCTGTCAAGCAATCCGTCCCCGTGCGAACAACGTGGCGCGATCGAACGTGTCCGCATACTGTCATGCCAACGCTCGCGACACCAATCGGCATAGCGTTTCTCCGATCCCTCGACCGCCGCCAGGTTTGGAAAGGGCGATAGACCGGGACAACGCGAGGGCTTGCAGCACCGCAACGGGCGCATCAACATTCGCGAAAAACCATGCCGCGCGCGCCTTTCTATTCCAGCGCCTCCTCGTCCTCCAGCAGCAGGAGATAATGTCCCACCGCTGCACCGGATGTTTTTGTCCTCCAGAATTCTCCGCCTGCATGATGAGGGTCCTGCGAGGTCGAGTTGCCCGACCCTACCAGCCCATGTTTTTTTCGCACACCTTTATGCGCCTGCCGGTGCAAGTTTCGTTCGGTAAGGCTGGGCAGGTCGGCGGGTCGGCGCCTATTGCGGACGTGGGGGCAGGCGGCTGGCTTGGGCGAGCGGCCTCATGCAGCTGCGGCGCAGCCTGATCCCCGTGCAACTGAGGCGGCCCGCTGGCGGGCGAGCAGGCGCAACAACGTCGCTGCCTCGGCCCCAAAACGGCCGCCAACCTCAACGCATCCCAACGCCGACGACGACGAGGCGGCAGCGGCTTTTCCGCCTGAGTTCAGGCTCCCCGGCTGCGTGTCAGCACGCGAGCGTGGTTCGCCGGATCGGGCGACCGGCGAGACGATGGTGGCGTGCAGGGCGAGATACCACAGTGGGAACCGTTGGCGATGACCTCCCGTGACCGGGCCTTGGACGTTCATGTCGGCGACCCGGGCCCCGGCCTCGCGGCACACCCCCGCGACAGCCCGATACGCAAGCCGAATCCGCCAAACCGCAGCACCAACTGCGCCGCACGGGCACTCCTTGCCCCATGGCACCACAACCATCCACCCAAAGCACAGTGTTCTCGCAAATCAACATCGCTTCAGCTCCGCCAAGAACATCAACGACGCACCAGCTCTTGCGCGCGGCTGGCGTGAGGTACGCAGCAAAGTAATACATGGAAGGGTTTGCTGGCTCCAACTCTGTTGCTTCCAACCCCGTGCCGCCACCCAAACGAGCTTCCACGATACTCCGGGCCGCCAAACTGACTGAAACATCAAGATTGACGGTCAGCGGCGCGAATACCTCAGTCGCTTCATCTTCAGTCGTGTAATCCGAAATAGCAATAGAACTCGGCGCGCGCGCGTCCGCCAGATCTTGACCAGCAAAGGCTTCATGATCGCGCAAGTCGTCCTGGAGGGTAAAAATTTACAAGGCGTGGTTAAGACACGTAGGTCTGGCGTGCAAGGCACGAGCATTCTCATTTTCAAAAACAATGCAGCCCAACGACAGCAAACTTTTCAACCGTGCTGGTTATCTTACAGAACGTAATCCACGTCATCGGTGAAAGCATCCAAGCTAGCAGAGACCCCGTCCCCGTCCTCGTCCTCGCTGCTTGAAGCCGAGCTGGCAGCTTCTGCGCATTGTGTCGTTTGGACGCGCGCGAGGTTTTGAGACAGGTCCGTCAACAAACTGATGCCCACTCTGGCGCCAGCATCCCGAATGGCTTCTTCCATGTCCTTCATCGCTTTGTTCCTGCGCAAGCCTCGCAGCAAGCGTGTCTCATATCCAAACAATTCCCGCACCGAGTCCAGCTGCCCTTCGCAGACATGGCCATGCCAGGTTGTGAGCCCCAGCATGTCTTCCACCCATTCCAGCGACATTGCGCCCGAAGAGTTAAATGAGATAACTACAACAACTACACAATGAAAGCTTCTTTTTGCGTTCTGATGCATCTCCCTGTCGGAGCCCCGAAGCTGGACATGGAGTTGTATGGGCTTACGCATGCAATTGCTGTCACTGTGTGCACAATGTGGCGACGCTAACAAAATCGAACAGCTCCAGCAACTTGCGAATGCATCGGAAATGCTTCCTCCTGCCCTTGAAGAGATGTGCTGTCCGAGTGTCAAGTAAGCCTCCCACGTTTTCAGGCAAGCGTCCATTGCCATTGCGTCCTCATGCAATGAAGCCCTTGGGAGCCATGAAAAACCTGCCTGCCAATGTCATGCGCATCAGCGCTCAAGCCTGCTTGCGCGGCGTCGGGCACGGGAGCATAGCGCAGCGGCGCCTGCCGCGCAAGCGGGAGTTATGCACACATCAACAAGTGGTTGTTTGGCAGAGGATGCATCAGCGCTTGCGGGAAATGGACCCACGGGGGTGCGTCCAAGCAAAATTCTGGGCCGGGGCAGTTGGACTCACACTCGCCATCGCCTCCGTCGACGTTGCGTTGTCAACCGCGAAAACTAGGCTGCTTTCAGCCTTGCGAGACCGGGCTGGTCCGGGCACGGAGGAGGACCACGCAGGACGGACCGGGAAGTTCCTGGCTGTTCGCTGTTGCCGGCTGGTCGCTATGGTCCCACAAGGATTCGAGCGGTGTGCATGTGCCATCTCACAGGGGATGAGCAATTTGACGGAGAACCGCTACCCGCGAACTCATGTTTACAGCGAATAAAAAAACACTAAAGACTCTAGACTCATGCCACTGTTCGCCTGCGCCCAACGGATAGAAGGCAGCGCCTGAGCTACACTTCCTCCTACGTGTACCACATGGGGCCCCATCTCGCTGTGACCGTACGTGAGTCGAGCAACACTTCATCGCGTCCTCGGCCAGCCAAGTCGGCAGATGTTCCCACTGCCGGGGTCTGACCGGTCCCGGTCAGCGGGGCGCATGGCCCGCTTGGCTAACCGTTGCGCCAGCTTGTCAGTCAGGTGCCCGCCGCGCGGCGGGGGGAAGGCCCACGGACTGCACCGAAGCATCCTCTAGCGCAAACAGCCAGAATGCTTGTTCCCAAGCGTGACGTTAAATCGGAACTCCCTCGGTGACGCCTTATGTCCTGAAGGAAAAAGAAGCTGATTGAGATGGAGTAGCAAACGCGACATTTGAAGGATCCAAGCATGATTTCCTAGAAAAGGTGCTAGCGCGGACCATTTTCAGGCGCTGCTGTCGGACGAGCCGTCACAAGAACTGCTAGTGTTACTGCTACACACTGCTACTGCTGGAGTTCTGGCGCGAGCGAAGGTTTCTCCGCTGTCGCCACTTGCGGGGCTCGAGCTCCAGCAAGCATAGCGCTCTCGGTTCTAGCGCGCCGCTAGCGCAAAACACTTTGCCGGATTTTCCAAAATCTGATACTACGACGTGATGAACGACGAAAACAAGCCAGGAGCAGCAAATGTACCAAGTATAACAAGAATATCGGTTCTTTCTTGTCATCGTTTTTCCTAGAAGAACCTCTATCCTGGCAACAGGGCCCCGTCAATTCATAACGAAGAGGCGGGGTTATTACACCACCCCGGATGTGGTACACATATTTCGGGTGGTGCGCCTGGCTGGGCCTTCTCAATCAATCTCTGTTGGGTTCGCTTAGTGGATTTTACCTAGCGCGCACCTAGCGTTTTCCTAGCGCCACACTGGGGTTTTAGGGGATCCCCCTCGGTGACGCCTTATAGCAAAGACATGAAAATAGACCGGCCAAACCAATTAATGTAAATTAAAGTAACTGAGCAGACACGCGAATTTTGAACGCAACCCATGTGGTCTTGACCACGGCTACGACCTGGAACCTGCCACGGCCCAGACAAAGGGCACTTGCCTGCCAAGCCCCGTCCACAAGTCAAAATACCTTCTGGCCCATCAGGGACTCCGCCAAGGACGACCTGTGGGTCGCGGCTGGCCGTCATGGCCTGCTGGGTCAAACTTCAGCTTTGCCACTCGGAACATGGCCTTTTTGGCTTTGTGCCGATGCCACATTGGTGCGGAACTGCCCCACACACGCACACACAGCGGCGCAGCCGGGGCCAAAGCCTGTGCATCCTTGGCCGAGTACGGACGCTGCAAGGCCTTGACCTCAATATTGACCGACCTGGCAGACGATGCCCGGCAGCGGTGCAGAGAGGCGGATCAGCCCCGCCAGACCATACTCGCACAAGTGCCGTTGCGCTCGGGCCCTCCTGAACCTTCCTCAGCCGCCTCCGTGGTTGGCTCGATGGTCTAATGCACATATGACACGCCTTGTCCGCAGCGTGGGCGGGCGCAAGACACGTTTGGGCCAGAACGCTGCCTGCGGCAGTGGGGAAAGCCCCAGGATTTCGCAGGTGCTGGGTTTCGTGCATCGCCACGCCTCGCCTGTTCGCCAACCTGCGACCTCCGCAACCAAGAAACAAGGCAGGCACAAGTCGGCACAAGCCCTGGACAGCAGATACACCAGCGCAAGCGACCTTCGAGGACTTCACGGTGCCCAGCGGGACACGGGCTGTCAAACCTGCGACGCAAACCTGGTGCCCCAAGGCACACAGGCGTCTCGACGAGCGCGACGCCCACCGGGAAAGGTCGCTCGCCGCGACGACACTTCACGTCCAGCGGTGAACAAAGGAAGGTCGGCATGGGTCAGCAAAAGTAGTGGGGCATGTTGCCCCTGCCCGGCAACGGCACTAGAGCAGAGGCCCCGCATGCTCTTGCAAACTCTTGCACATCTAGAGCTAGGATTGTTTCTACTGTTTCTCTGGCAACGCAACTCATTCCAAGGCAGTTGTGAAACAGGGTGAAAGAATTCGTTGGCCTAAAGCGTGGCCTAAAGCCACAGGTCGCCTCACATGGGTGATACCCTTTGTCACACAACACACGAATCTGCGGACCAGCAAAACAAGTCTGTCATACACTTGACAATGCAATTTTTTTAAACCACATCGGTCTCAACTTTCTCGCCCATGCTTTCACCATGTTGCTGTCAGTGAGGGCTGCTCTTGAGCTGACGACGGGCATTTCACTGAATGCCATGTTCTCCATGACCAGTGGCCTCCACTGGGGTGCTGCAACTATCATGATGGAACAAACTGCAACCAACGAATGCCCTTCCACAATACTTTTCATTGTGTACAGTTATCCCCACCGGAAATATGAGAAAATCATGATGTCGTACCAGAGATGCATCGCATTTGAGCACGGCAGGTGCTTTCATCAGAGAAAAGACAGGGGAACTCAGAGCTGCTGCGCATCATGCGACGTTTGTTTTTCATTCATTTCTCCCGTCCTTGCTTTTGGGCCCTTGCACAGCAGATCACGCCATATCAGAGTTAGTCAAATCTGTGCTGCAGCAGAAGCAGCAGCAGCGACGAGTTTGCAGAAGCCTATCAACTCGAGGTGAAAGACTCCAACAAAACGTCTATCTCGGCTGCCCGCGGGGCTTTCATGATGCTGTCGGCAAGATGGAGAAGAAGTATTGGCCTCGAACGACGTCAGTGTGCAGGCTGGACTCAATGGCATGCAGTGTCTTGTGGTCTTGTAAGACTGCGACACTCCAGCACTCCGTCCTCGCTCGACTCGATCATTCATTTTTACTGTTTTTACTCACTCACCCACTCAGTCACCACTCCCTCACTCGCACCCCACACACACAGACAGACTTATTCAGCAGAGCCATCACTACGTCTAGTCTTGACTTTGTGGCGCATTTTCCCGCGCCAGAAAGCGGTGATGATCATCTGCAGGTGCTCTTCCAATTCGTTCACATACGCGGGTAGTTGGGAGATCATCTTCAGTGTTGTCCACCCCCTCTGCCGATAGCTTTGTCGACGAACGTCTGCATGACGAAGTGATTTGCAGAGAGCAACGTCAAGGCATGTCACTGGAGCGATCCCTAGTTTTCGAGAGTTCTTTTACATCAGGGGTGTAAGAGAAGTAAGCAGAACTGGCAGGCAGTGTAGCGTCTACGCAGGGACAGCTGCACAGTTATCACGATTCTTCGAATCGTGACACTGAGGCTCGAAAACCAGGGGCCCCCATGAGTGTGCTCCAGAAAAACAACTGGCAGGAGACTGTTCACTTCTGCAAGTTGCTTTGGCTTCGAGCAAACTTGTCAGCTTCCGCAAGCAGCCACCTCAGCCAAGCTGCCAACTGTTGCCAAGGAAGAGAGCTGCACAGCACTGCACCGCCCCACAGCATCCAACACACACACACACACACACACACACACACACACACACACACACACACACACACACTGCCCTCCGCCCCAAAGCTGCACCCTCAGATGCACCCTGCCTGACGCCAGCTTCCAAGCCCTGGCCCTGCAGGGCGCAGCATGGGTGGACATGGAAGGGGCGTTCGCTGAAGAGCCGCTCGAACTCGAAGAGCCGGGAAAGCTCCTGGGAGGGCTGGCGTCATGCGCGACATGCGGCACATCAAACTTAGGAGCTACTCGCAGCGTCAGAGCAACACCTGCAGGAAGTCCTGGATGCTGAGTGCTTCCGGCTTGTCTTGCTTGTTGGCCAAGCATAACAACGGCACACCTTGGAGCTTGTCGTGGCTGATGACCTCGACCAACGTCGCCTTCGCCTCCTCAATCCGCGTCGGATCGGCGGAATCCACGATGAACATGACACCTGCGTGAAGAGATGCGAAGAGGCACCCCTATGAACTTCGCACTGCTCACTCATTGTACACACACACACACACAGACCCTTAAGCATCCTGGCTGCTATTGTCTGGCACAAGTGCTACTAACTGCGGCCTTGCACTTCGGAGTAGTAGTTGTGCCACACCGACCGGAACGAGGAATGTCCACCCAAGTCCCAAAATACGGCAATCACCTGACCAGAAAGAAGTGCCGAAGATGGGTGACGGCCAAGAGATGCCACAACAAAGACTCAACACACGAACAGCCAGAGCCCATGACAGAGCAAAAGGGAGCAGAGCCGAAGCCCCAAGCAGCGAAAGGAGGGGTGGAGACATCGAAGGCTGGAAGGGGGGGGGGGGGGTGGTTAAAATTTTAAAAACAACAGAACAAATCAGAACAAAAAACGAAGCATCACGAAGCATCACGAAGCATCACGAAGCATCACGAAGCATCTTTCCAGCTTCGTGCTTTACTCAGGACCCCATCACACCTTTGCAATCGACTTTGGGGTGCCCCCACCTCAGAGCCCGAGCAAAGAATCCCAAAGCAATCTGCAACCCTGCAGTACCCACCCCCAGATATCCCCACACCCCTAAGTCCCCACCCCAGTTGACCCCGGCAATTGATGTCCAAAAGTATGTTTCGTATGTTGTGTGTTCTTGGAAATGCTCTAGATAAAAAGAACTTGTAAGAAAGAAGGCCAGGTAGAAAGAAAGAACCCTTAGCCCAAAACCCTAAAACCCTAACCCTAATCCTAAAACACCCTAAACCCGAAGCAAACCCTAACTTTTGCAACAATTAGTAGCGATCTAGGCGTTTGCTACAGCAGATGACACATCCTCTGACATTTCATAAACTAACCTATGTTCGAAATTTGTTTTTTTCATTTTGGATGTATTTAAAACCATAGGTCACCATGCCTGTTTTTTCATGTAATTTACTTTTTTCATGTAATTGAAAATGGAAAATGCTCCATTGTTATTGGGAAATTTCGTCGTTCACGATTTGGAATGTGCATGGCACCCAGGCCAAGGGACAGCCACCCGCAACGCCGAAGTTCACGATTTGGAATGCGCACGCCACCTATGTAGGCGAGGCGGCCTTCTCCCTGACAAGCTTGACTTCTATTTGCGCGTAGAACCCGTCTGGTTGTACTATAAACATACAATATCTTGCGCAACCGTGATGTTTAAAAAGAACATGTCGGCATTTTATGCTAAGCTTGCTTGAGCAGCTCGAGTACAAACATAGTGAGGCATGTTAAAACCTTCTTCCATGTGTTCTGCATGCAGTTTACGCTACCTTTTCAGTGATGTAAACAGTACAGTACAACACACCCTGCACGTATGCGTGCACATTATGCATAATTAACTGTACAACGGACCTGTGCAAACGACCTCATGACTGTATATTACATAACAAAAGAGCGTATACAACTGCATTCTACTGACACATGCTTGAATCAACCCAGTGTCTACTTTCCTGAGCGCTTAACCAGAAGGACAGAATAGCAACATACACATCTAATATCAACGAGTCGGTCTCGAAAATAATACACAAGAACACCAACTGATGATGCCATGTCAGAAGCAACTTGGATGTGTACGTATAGCGCAGTACAACACTGTATGCAAAACATATACCATCAACATCATCAGCACTTCGTAAAAGGGTCGGGGGCGGAGCTCGATGGGGGCGGCCGAGGGGGAGAGAGACGGTTCAACCCACAAATCTGACGACATTGAGAAAACTCGGTTTGGGCGAGGCACATGCGGGAGGGTGTGTGCACACCCTGAACCCCCTTGGTTTAGGGGATTCGTTTGACTGCAGGCCTTGTCAATCTGGATGCGTCCAATATTGAAGCCAATGGTCGGTGGAATCCTGGACACTTGACCACATCACCGCTGACCAAAACGCGGGGCAGCTAGCAGCTGGACTTTCGAGATCTTACCGAGATCTTAGATCTTGCCCCGAGATCTTTTACGCGAGCCTTTCCGGCGGCATGCCTTTGAGGCCGAAGAGCGACTTGAGCTTCTCCAATGTGGTGGTCTTGCCAGCATTGTCCACACCAAGCAACACCATGCGGCGCTCCTGAAGGCTTAAGTTCTTGCATCAAAACATGCTACTGCGATGTGCTGAACTTGTACTGTCCAGCCACACTGCCCTTCTGAATCCAATTCCGGTGGCGAGACGTGCACATCAGACGTATTGACAGAAAGCGTCTTTGTCAAGCAGTATCCTCCTTTTGTAGAAGCCATTGCCAAAGACCAGAAAGAAGGCTGAACATACAGAGATGTCCTTGGCCATGCTCCCTCACAAGCCTCCTTCCCTTGGCCCGGACTTTGTGGAATCATGCGGAATCGCAGGCTAGGCAAGAGCTTGTCATCAAATAAGCATGTGGCAAAGCCTCCTTGCTGAACACAGGTATGGACTATAGGCAATCGAGAAGCAGCGGGCACGCATGTCGAGTGAAGACTTCGCCTTGTCTGCTCTTTGCCTTGATCAGAGGGCACTGGCAAGCTCCATTGCAGACCTTGTTGAAACCTTGTGGCAAAGCTGATGCTGAAGTGCTGTCAACACAAATACTCACTCATGTCCTGCTAGAGAGGACCAGAAAACAGCGGCGGGAAATACACGCAAACATGCTTCTGGCATTCTGCACTCAAGCACTGTGCCGCTGCCAGCGTCCTCTGCAAGATCTGTACAGTGCACGACATTGTGCACGTTGTTGCGACCTGCACTAAGCAATCTTGCGTATCCCTCTGACAACTTCGTGGCGACTCACACGTGGGATTCATTCACAGCACTCTGAGTACGCTCACCATGACAGGCCCGGATTGTGTCGGGGCGCAAATGCCTGAGAAGTTACGGGAATCACGTCTCAAAAGAACCTGCAGCTCGAAAGCCATCCCATGACTGGTCTTGTGGCTATGCCGGGCGCAGAGCTTGGCAATTTCAATGTCAAATGGTCCACACAGCTCTCTGAGCCTCGATGTATTGAATGCGGATCTTTCTGGGGTGTCCCGGATGCTGGACTTTGCAGGCCTGGTTACCACGTTGTCGCCGCGGACCTGCGAACGCATACTACCGGAAAAAACCACCGCAACTCGGCACTCACTGTGCCATCTGTGCCTCCATGGCAAGGCACAGGCCCGAAGCTAGCTCTGTGATCATGGAGGCATACTGTGCCTCAGAACCAGCATGCAACAGCCCCCTTAAAAATAATCTTCGTCAGGGGCGGCTCTGAGCGCCTCACACTTGGAAGAACAGTCTTGTACACCTCAACCGTCACAGAAACTGCGCCCACAGTCAATTGCACGGTGACGGTTGGGCCTCGTAGAAATTTTCCGCCTGGCTTTTCAGCAGCACGTAAGTCTGCATCGCGGATATCTGCAACCTCAAAACAAGTATGTAACCTGTAATGCATTGGCTTGCTTGTTACGCTGCCGTTTGCATGAAACGACACTTGTGGTCCCAGGCCCGGCATTCACAATTGCCGACACGACATCTCCCACCTGTGCAATTGCAGACAGGCTAGGAGCCGTAAAGCCAGGCCGTCACCGCTGCCTTTCCTTCCCGGATTGCATGCGGCCTTGCAGAACAAGTCTTATTGCAAAGGACAGTCACATGCTGGCGCACACGAAACAACAAGCTCATCGAGGATCGCACCTTATAATGCAAAGCGAGCAACTATCGAATGTTGCTGAACACTCTTTGCTTGCAAAGACCTGCAGCACGTTGCTGTAACTTTGAAAGTTTCTGTCTCTCAACTGCCAGAGCTTCACAGGTCGGCCTTCTCGCTGTCCAAGCTGACGGCTTCAACCTGAACAGCCTGAGCGACAGGGAAGACTAGTGGCGACCACTCCTTCGACCCACAGTGTTTCGTCGTCAACTTTGCTCACCGAGCTTGACCGAGGTTGCGAAGCCGAAAGTGTGGCGATGCCTGGTGCTGCACTTGCCACTCTCGGTCAGAGTCGAAGGTTCGGGGGGCTCGGCCCCGGGAAATTCCCAGGCCCCTCCGGTCTAGGAGTTTCTAGTTTAGGGCGCCCCACCCCAGCCCATCCCACACCCAGGTCCCTCCTAGCCTGCATGTCCACCGTGGGTCATGTATGGAAACTTCGTTAGCAATCGCCTGTGCACAAGATCCAGCGGCGAGGCCGTGTTTGTAGTAGATACAAGCAGGATGGCGAACGAACGACGAGACTTCGGTCACTAAACCAATGCAATCTCAAATGCTATCAAATGCTAGCCAATGCTATCGAATGCTATCAGATATCATGCTGCCCAGTGCAAGCACGAGACCTGAGCCGCATCACCCAGAGCTTGCTTCACTGCCTGCCCAAACGACAGCGTTGGCGCATCCCTTGTTGGACTACCAAGCTGAAGTGGTCCTCCCGCCAGCCCTCGACACCACCCTGGCCTGCCCAGAACATTCTGGGGCAGACACGTGCTGCACTGACTTTCCGAACTCTCCGAAGATTCCTAAGGGCAAGACCAACCAGCTCTATGTGCACGGTCATGTGCCCGCTGCTGAAGGTCTTCACCTGCCCGAAGGGTGCAGCAACTCGCAAGCACGCTCGACATTCACGACAAGCACCTATGTCACCCGTCACTAAGCTCATCACACGCTTGATCGAAAATCCTCTGTCATGAGCAAGACTGAAGAGATTCCCGAGGTCCGCAAGTGCAGTCCCTGCTATGACGGTGTAGACCTCCAAATCAAACACACGGCAACAGCAAAGTCTTCCAGCCTAGAGCGCCGACCTGCTCGCAATTTTTCTCGAACAAATGTTGGGTCGGCACATCGCCATACGAGATTATCCTCAAGCGGAGGTCCATATGGCACTTAGCACAAATCCAGCCTAACAACTCAAGGAGATCAAGCATGAGGGCCCAGCTTCAACTTTCGTGCGCATACAGTCAACTCCGCGCCCTGAGTTCAGGCAGGGAATCAGGGGTTGCACCGCTGAACTCTTACAAGTCTTGCGTGTTGTGCCTTCTGTGCATTCTGTGCATTCTGTTTTGAAGCTGTTCTGGCGCTAAGCCTTGAAAATTGAGGCAGGGACAATGAATAAATCGTCCAATCTGAAGGCCCCATCTTGGTCATAAACCTGATTTCAAGTATGCAATACATCCCCACGACCAGGTCGAACCAAGCTGCGAAGTCAATGAAGATGACAACTTGCTATTGCAACTTGGAAGCTCCGCGTTTTAGGAAGAGGCGCTTGGATTTGGTGTCGTACCTCGTTGGAGACACACCGATGCAGCGGAGAAAATGCTGGTCCGCAACATTGCATTCAGTGATTGCACTGTCAGTCTAAGGCTGTTACAACGAAAGCTCATTTGGACTGCCATTGTGCTTGCTGTACACGGTCAGGAGAAACTCCTCCCAACCAACCGCCGAACGCCAAGACATAACGTTGCAAACCAAAACAGCCTTCGTCATCTGGGAAGCTTCTTGAACATGTTCACCTGGGCAATGTGGGTTCACATGATGTTCTTCAACATTGCGTATCTCAACAAGTCTCGAACAGACGAAATTGTACTTGTACGCATCGGACATTATCTCCTCCAAGATGCAAAAAATAACGCTTGCAATGAAAGCAAAGAACATCATTCTGCAAACTCCTCCGGGTTGCGGCGGCGACAAACCGTGGCATACAGACGAGAAACCCAAAGTTTGCAAATGTTTGAAGATATGTTAAACGTACGTTTCATGTTGCACGGAATACTTTTGAACGGTCTTTGCCTTGCAGCTGTCATGTGGGGGCCTGGAATCCAAAACGCTACTCCTCGCAACTTGTCAAAAAACTTGGACAACGCAACACATGCACAAATTCAAGACCTACATGTGCCAATGTTTGGCCGAATGTTGGTGTTGGGCCAGTCAGTACGCTAACACATCACGAAGACTGTGCCAAGACTCATCGCGTGGTTCGCCTACTTTCCTGCCAAAACCGAACATGTCCCACGTTTCAGTCACACAAATGCCAGGTGACCCAAATTTTAAAGTGTAGCATGCAGCTATCCAAGGCCGCGCTCACACTGTTCAACAAAACCGCGTAAAAGCGGCAAGCTGCTGTCCCTCCCTCTATCCAAACCAGCTGCATACAAGGCATCACGCGAGTATTCGTTGTATTCGTGGCCCGGCCAACAGGGAGTGCGTCACAACGAAGCAACGAGGAAAAGAAACAGCGAATGTGCATTTTGCACGAGCAACCTGGCATCCAAGGAAATGTCATTGGGTCTCGGTAAGGCCATACAGATCGAAACAACGGTTCCATCTCATTCTGTAGGCATACGGATGGGCACAGCATTGCATTCAAAAGAAAGAACTTGCAGCGCAAACGCGGACGATGAGCTTCACCGCTTACGGATGCCCCGACATTCTGGGATTCTCGGGTGTCCCCGGCTGGAAGTATTGCGCGCGGACAGCTTGAAGATGATCGAACCAGCTGTACCAAAGAAAGAGACGCAAATCAAAGCACAATCGGCGGACCGACAACGGTCCAAGTTAAATTGACAGAACACTGCGGCGTGGATGCTTAATAGCCGCGGCTTGGCAACAGGCTGGGCTTCCAAACGGCAATCGAATTCGCACTCACAGTCCCCAGCAAAATACAAGTCGGAAGGAAGGCTCCGATGTCCCTGCGGTCGACATTCCTGCCAGCGGGCCGCTTTTGCTCAATGCGTCACGGATCGACCGCAACTGCCGTCTGAGTCCCGGCCTCAGAACTCTCTGAAACGACGAGGTCGCGATTGAGCTGATTACACAAGGCATCGAGCACAACACGGGCCAATCCGGCTTGTTGAACTGTTGAACTCCTCCGGCCGCTCGCGCGTGAAGATTCTTTTCCTGAACAATCCAAACTTCATGAAGAACAAACATAGAAGACACACGCGGAAACCTGCACAAGCAAGACTAAACTTCAGTCTGGTGTACCACGAATTGGCAATTCCCTCGCACGGCACAAGAAGAAGCAACGGAATGGGATTGGCAACTGCTTGTGTCAAAATGATCTAGGTGTGACTTGACTTGCACTGCCAGAGAATGACAACAAATTTGTTTTTCTCAGGCAGTCTTAACGGCGCCCACAACAAAAACTGCCTTTTGCACACTTCGCATCACATTTGCTTGTCTCAGGCAGTTTGCTTAATTGGATGTCGGGCGCACAGTCGGTCACACCTTTTTTCTTGGAGGTAGTGGCAGAATCTCGAACCCTGCCCGATATTGCAAGCTGTGTAACCACCTCTCACCAAATTGTTTGGAATGATGTTTTTTGGGATGACGACGCACTTCTCAAGTTTGCGCAGTTTTTCCTTCTTATCCTGGGAGAGGTGGGGGTCAAGAAGGCCGCAAGCCGGCCCCAGTAAAGCTGTGCTGAAACCAATCACGTTGACCCAGAACAACTCTGGTAGATGCCATGTCATCATGTACTTCCAGGAGCCCAAGCGCCTTCCCAGCGCGAAGCAAAAAACTTGATTCAAATAGCACGTGAAAAGAAAACGGCATTCGCTGCGAGCGCAACCAAGCAGGGGCATCATTGCTGACTTGCTGAACAGTGGTGCGTTGCGATGTTTAAAGTCCCTAAACTCTTCGTGTGATGCAAAAACGTGGGGATCTTGCGGGAATCCACGGGGTTGCTCCGCAGTTCACCCCATTCACTTAGTCGGAGAAAGAGACCGAGTGCATTATTCCCAGTCCGTTGTCTGAAGCATTCCATTGTGGTACATGCGTCTTTCACTTAAACAAATAAAATTGGATTTCATGGCTTTTCATGTTTCATGCGTCTTCATGCGTATTCATGCGTCTGTATTTGCGTTGCGCATCACAAATTTGCTCTTTTTCGAGGTGCAGCAAAGACCGGCCAACAGTCTACATGCTTTTGCCATCACTTCGCACGGACAACACAGTGCAAATTATGGTCCATCCGTGCTGTCAAACGTGATCACCTCTTTAACATCCATGAACAATCGCAGGCGGACAAAAACAAACCCAGGCCATTTGGATCATGTTGCATCATCGGCTTTTTTTTAAGCGGGCGCCCCGTTACCACATCAGCACAATGGGCCGGTCTATTGCGACAGGTGAGGACAAGCAGAGACTACAAAGCGACCAAAACGCAACACAGAAGCACAACCCAAAAAGCAACAAAGGTGAAACGCTCCCTCGCTCAGAACAGGACGATGTTGATGCAGTTCCGTCATCCCTGTTTGCTCAGACCAAAAGCAGCATCGCAAAATGCGATTCCTGGGAGGTCCGGGCCGGACGTCTCAATTCTTGACATAAGTTCCGACGCCAAATTCAGCGCCGCAAAAACTTCTTTGCCATCTTCGCACTGCGCGCCTGGAATTCCCCTTAGAACGGCAGCGGAGTTGAGGCGAGCCCATTTTCAATATACAATGGTTTTTAAACCGGGGAAGACACGACTCCGCTACATGTGTACCTGACATCGCGCCCAGTTTATGCGACCCAAACTGACACATTCCCAAGCCCTCCTGGTGCCCTGTGTCAGAGGTAACTGGCCTCAGGGCCCGGAGCCAGGACATCCGGCCCCAAAACAGCCCCAGTTCCGGAACCAAGGGGGGCATAGGAACCATAAGATGCCCGACTATGAAATTCGGTGGCTCAAAAATGATGGTGAAGGTTGTACAGCTGTGAAAACACGTAAACATCTATGGTTTTGCACAGCCCCTGGACTCCGGGGCATCTGCTGGTGTTGTCGTGCCATTGGGGCTTTGGGCGGTCGGGTTTGTAGGGCTTTGCTCTGCTTTGGTGCACCAAAACCACCCCCGTCCCGCACATAGGCGTGGCCGTTCACCCCCACCCCAAGTAGATAGATGTGCAATACAAGACAAGTACCGTACAAGTAATGGAGGCCCAGACGACGAAACCCCCCACGAAACTTGCCATAGCCTTAGGAGCTTTGTATCCCTCTTACAACCTCACATCCATAACTCCCACAAAGCCATACAGCCTACAGTATAGAACCATTTCCAGACATCATAAAACGCCTATAAAATTTGACAAGCATCTACAAAGCCTGTATCAAACCTATTCTTTGCTAACTGCTTCCACAGCCCTTCTGCATATATATATATATCCCTATACAAGAAAATGTACAGCAGAATTGTTGTTTAAACCTTCTCGTTTCGCTGCAGGAAAGATACCCCTGTTACAGTTGTAGAAAGGCAGTATTGCAAAGCGTTTCTTCTAAAAACCCGTTTTGAAACCATTGCAACAGCTCCAAACCCTGATAGCGCTCTTTTGCAACTGAAAAAACGGCAGAATTCCTGAGGAACCTCCATACAGCGGTGATTCAGCTTGCTTCTCAAGCTTCATGAAACCGTCACCTTCAAGACTAAGCTCAAATCCCAAACCACAACCTCACCGGACCAGGGAACTAGAAGCGCCTCAAAGCTCTCAATTTCAATTTGATGCCTGACGCGACCACGTCCACCAGAGAGCGAGATGGGCCACCCACGCCAACCCTCCAGCCCAATGCCCACACCGTAAAACCAACAACAGATCTGGGGATGGGAGGGGGGGGGGGGTTTGGAATCCCGCAATCAGACCACGCCAGGACCACCGAGGGAGGGGGGGGGTGCGCAAACAAGGCGCCTGGATATAAGGATTCAGGAGTTACGGTTCCGGGTCTGTTTTTACGGTTCCGGCCTGTTTTTTACGGTTCCGGGCCTGTTTTTTACGGTTCCGGGTCTTTTTTTTACGGTTCCGGTGTCGTTGGTTTCGGCAAGATTTTGCCTACACGTGCCACAAACTTGGCTGGGGTGTGCCATATCTGCTCGTGACGACTATCAAAACCAAAACCTGCGTTGGCATCAGCGCAAGGCACGACATCTCCAACCCTTCTCTGTCTGCGCATGATCCTCAAAAGGTGCGTAATGTCGATCTGCAACCCTGTAGCCACATCTCTAGAACTTACCAACGGATCTATATACTAACAACAAACACGGACGGGCCCCCACACCCCACCCCACTCCCTCGAACCAAGGTCATCGTCTAGGTCCAGGATCTTATACCTCCCATTTTTGCTTGTGGACCTTTGGTGACTTGACGGTTGTGGGCCATGGAGTCACAGAGAGATCCTACCCTCTTGTCTCGTTTCTGCGACTCCAGTGATGGGTTGGGTTACGGTGCTTCAAGACATCGATGTTGGAAAAGGGTATCGTCAGCCTTTTATGTCTTTACATGTCGTTCCTGAAGCTTTTCAAGATTAGGTGCGGACTTCTACTATACTACAATACGTCTCAACGTTACCAATCGCTGTGAACATATGGGTGATCGCTTTTTCCAACGAAGTTTTCAGGTTTCGCAGCGCTTAAACAAATTAAAAGGCCGATGAGGTTACAAAAGCTTATAATCAAGCTTGTATAACTGGTATCCTACCGCTGTGAGGGCTTTAGCAGGTTTCCCAAAGATATGCA